AGGATCCTTTTTAGCTTGCAAAATCAGATAGGATTGGGGTGAAAAACACAATTTGGACGGATATACTAGAGATGGAGGATGTGCTCTTAAAGCAGGGCAGTGCTACACACAGGCCGGGACTACTGCTAAATAACAGCTACACAAACAGCACAAAGTGAAAGAAATTGTGCAGTAATTCTGTTGGTATGACTACTCCCTTTTGTTCCAGAATTTTTTTAAAAGCTCTCAAATGTATTATGTAGCAACACATCATCTAATGCAAAATATTTTTTTTTAATGTAGAATTACTTTCAGCTGCTAGCAACATCACCTGTGAGGTTTAGCTACATCTGCTGACACTTCAAAAGACTAACAGTTCTTGGATCCAGCATCCATTCATTAAATGTGTCATTAATAAATGCAAACTAAGTAGGCAACTAAGTAGAACCATCCTTAATGAGGTATTGAGTGTGTAATTAGCACGGAATAAATGCTTGCAAAAGAACAATGGTCTGTTTACTGCTGTGAAAAAATGATTAAACACAATCGTACCTGCAAAAAACTTGTGAAAAGAAAAGAAAGAAAGAAAGAAAGTTATTTAACTTCTTCTGAGTAACTATGTTTATTAAGGGTTCATAAATTCAACTAAAACTTCCTAATTTTAGCTCTCGTCATCATTTGTAAAATTCCATTCCAAAACCTTGGAGTGATGCTGACCCATAAAGGTTTTCTAAGGCACACATAGATATCTTTTTATTTGGAATACTACTCTTTGTATTCACACAACCTCACTAATAAGACATATGTGGTGATTTTTTTTTGCCTTGTACTTTATATTGTAATCGGGTTTATTTTAACCCAAAGGCTTTTTTCCCCTAAACCTAACCAAGCAGTTTTTTTTAATAGTCAACAGGTAGTCTGTGGGAAAAAAATAATCCTACATGGAAGTGCCAAAAGCCGTAGTCCTTGGCTCCAGACTGAATCAGCCCCCATGTAAAAATGCCCAAATTCACAGCATTAAAAATACTTTTATGGATTGGTACAAAAATGTTTTTTCTCTCTACAGACACCACCGCCTTTCAGCTACACAGTGGACGAACACATTTAGATACTCCTAATGTTTAAAGTTTAAAGCGAGCTTTGGTCATTAGCTGTCTAGAAGGATTAACTTTAGGTAATTTGAGTCACTTGTATCTCTCTGGCATGCTTGTGGTGTCGGTGCTTTCTGGGGCTATTGTAATGGAATTACTTGAAAAATATTGTGGCTCGTTATAAGGTATAATCTCAGCCTCCGTCTCTAGCAGTTAGACTCTATAACTCCTCAATCACGATGTCATAAGTCACTGGACACTGTGAACATCCACGGTCACCACTTCATGCATAATGGACCTTCCATGTGTATGGACATGTGCAGGTATATATGTCTGTATATGTATACATATGTATATTTAGTGTGTACATGTGTGTGTGTACATGTCTATAAATAGGAATAGTAGTGGTACAATAGCTATATCAAGCTATATAGTTTACGTCTTCCATATTTCCAACTATATCCATAATCACATACTGTGTATGCTACCATTGTATATAGTGTATTATCTTACTTTTTTTCATTGATTGTACTTATTTGTATTTTTGTATTTCCTTCTGATATCTGTACCTGAGCTGAGGTGACGCAAAAATTTCCCCGTTGTGGGATCAATAAAGTCTTATCTTATCTTATCTTATCTATATGACATTGTTGTCAGTCTTTATGAGCAGTGCAAGGAACGGCTCATATATATTTTTTGAGTCACTGGTGATCGACCTGTTCTGAGGATGTGCTGTGAGGTGTGGGAATTATGGGAGCTAGTGCAAATAATATGTGTTAAACATTGCAGGCTGAATCTGAGCTGACGACAGCAGATGTTCTCTGTCACTGAGGAACCGATAAACATTTTAGAGCCATCTTTTTAAGCCTGAACAGCTCTTTCATCTTCAAAAGAAGATTTCTGGTGAAGTATCCATAACTTCCAAGCTACGGCTAAGCTGAGGGAGTGTTGCTTCAATTCTACATGAAAGAACGTCTGGTAGAAACATATCTACTTTTTGCTTCTGTCACTTTTGGTGTATACATAAAGAACATTAAGGGACTAACATGTGATATAAATCTTTTCAAAATAAAGCAGTTCCAGGCATGTTTGTCAGCGCTGGGAAATTCTGCCAGTTTATCCATACTGCAGCACACTGGCTGTCATCACCCTGCCTGCTTCTCAGCTTACAGCAGATGGTCCGTGAGGGGTTAAACCTCCTGAACCTTCCACCCTTCCCGCTGTGTTGGCTTTCACCTCAGTACCAAATATACACACCAATACACAATGCAGCTCTCTCTCAGTTTGCCCTCAGTGCTTCCAAGTCACCGGCTGGGGAGCAAAGTGACACCATGCCACCAAGTGCCATCTTGTGCCTTTTTGGTGCCATGCTGAGCCCCCCAGGCAGCTCCAGGCAGGCTTATGTGCCTCTGGCCTCATCTCAGGCCCCATTGGTGCCGTGCAGAGGGGAATGGAAGGAGCTGGCACTAGCCTGGCTTTGGCTTTGGCAACTGTTTGTTCTATACAACCTCCGTCTCTGTCTCTCTCTGGGGGCGATACTCCAAAAGTGTGTCTGTGTGCTGGCATGAAGACACAAGTAAAAATACATCGGTTTTCCCTCTACCCACATGGATTAGGGATGCTTATCTGTGAAAGCAACCGCTGTGTGCCAAGTTATGTCCATGTACATGTGTGTGTCTGCAGGCAGCTGTGCACAATGTCACCTCATGACACCACAGTATTAATGGAGGAAGCTGGATATACAGAAACAGGACTGATCAGCTAGTGGCACTGCAGGCTGAAATCACACTGGTGTTATAGATAAACCCTTGTGACCCTCCACCACCTCACAGAGATTGAGTGTTAGATTTTGTTGATGTGGGCCTACAAAGAAGATTAAACTCTCTGGTAACCTTTAACAGCTGTCAGATATGTGGTAAGGGTGCTGGAAAACATAAAAACGTTTGGTTAAGCGCTATGCTAATGTGATGAATGAAGAAAAGCAGGAGGAGCATCTTTGCATGTCTTAAGAAGAGCTCAAAACTAGCACAGCACGAAGAAAGAGTCGAGGAAAACACTGGGGATTATTCATGTGGAGCGAGAAATGTAAGGCCTCTGTCGCTGATTCATTCCTTTCCACTTTTTGAAAAGTGAAAAGTGATTCACAACACCTCCACCTACTCTACCTGTCCGGGTTTCCACATACAGCTTACACTTCAAAAAACACCCCGCAGCTGATGTTGATACCGAAACAGAGCGAGACCAAAGTGAAAGGTAATTCTTCACGCTACTTGAGGAACGCTTTAGTCGGGGTGACGGACACACTCTGCAGATCCCAGCTGCTTATGGAGGATGTAGAATGATTCATGGGCCGTTCTTCTGTTGAGGCGAACGGGGGGGATTCAGTCTTATTATCAACTTTGTGGGGAGAGCATTTCAGGAAAATATGACACCTGGCTGCAAAGTGTTGCACAAGAAGCTAGGGCTTTGCTAGTTTTTAGTGGGGATCAGGGTGTGTTTGACCATATTCAGCTGCTTTCCGTTAGTGCAACAAGAGATGGTTATAGTTTTAAAGGGAGGTCGATACTAGGAGAAGCCTGAGTGAGGGTGAGTGAATCTGCAACAGCTGCTGGAGGCAGGTTTGTCTAAATGAGCAGATTAAGAAAGATATGAGAGGAGCTGTAGGGCCTGTCTATCACTGTCACAACAATGATTCTGCTCATTATAGATGTCATCTGACAAGTCATATTATATGCCTACACAGAGAGAGCAATTAACTAGTCCCCAACTATGTTTGTATTATAAACTGACAGGATTTCTTGAAATTACCCGCTGCCGCTGTCAAAATAAACTTTTACTTTATAATGATTTTCTAAAACTAAAGAAAATAAGAGACTCTAGCAGCGAAGATTTAATTGGCTCTGCCCAATCTCACTGTTAACAGGAAGCATGGTTATGGGGGGAAAAAATCAAGAGGTGTTTGTTGGAAACCCATCTGACAGGAGAATGTTGTATTTTAAGGATTGAACATCTGCTAGTGAGAAGCTGCCAACTAACAGTGGCCTTTGGTCCCCTCCCTGTGAGACAGTTTTTCAGCTTTCCTGTCCAGTGGCGACAACTGTTATCTCTGTTGTGGGAGCTAGCTGTCATCTATCTACATTAACAGGCCTGGTCACAGAGGCCTGGGCAGTGGAGGCTGGAGAGAAGGGTGAGTGGGCCATTTGTGGGGGCGGTGGGCTCCGAGTAAAGCTGCCAGGAGATCTGACACCAAGGTCAGGGGTGGTGTCTTAAGTTAACTCAGCCAAGTGAAAGCGATGATAAGAGAGCAGAGTGTTCTGAAGTTTCCTCGGCACACCTCTGCTTTTAAAACGCAGCTAATGTTATTTTTCGTTGAGTTTTAATCTGTGATTTAGTTCATTTTTACTGAAATTACATGATATTTGACACTTGTTATGTGGACTGCTTTTCTCAATATACACCATATTCTTTTGTTTCTTGTTGCCTCTGCTGCTTAGTATTTTGCCGAAACCAGCAAAGCCCCTCTGCTGTGGAACCAGCTCCCAGTTTGGATTCAAGAGAGAGAGCATTCCCTACTTTTAAGTTAACTTTAAAGGGCTGGAACCTGTGATGCTATAGGCTCAGGCAGCTGGGTGACTTCTCATGAGGCACTCTTTTTTTCTGTCTTCCCTCACCTCGCAGCCAACAGATCACAACAGATGGTTGCCCCTCCCTGAGCTTGGTTTTGTCTGTTAATGCCGAGTTTGTCCTCCCCACCATCGCCCAGTGCTGCTCATAAGGAACCATCCTTTCTCTCGTGCTATAGGCTTTTTAATTTATAATACAAGCATAAAACACTGAGATCACAGTTGCCGTGAACCCACGCTAAAACACACACACACTCATACAAGCTCCACATCTGAGCCTTATAGCAAAAACATCAAAGACACTTACTTGCCACTTCCAGCGATGCGTTGCGACTGACTGCTTCACCCAAGTAGTTGCGCGCCACACACACATACACACCCTCATCAGGTTTGCTTCGTCTTCCGTGTACAATTCGCAGAAAGAAGAGGGAGCCGCTGGGTAATAGCATCCTGTGGGACCGAGGGTCCTCTCGATCCGTCTCGACCCGCTCTCCGTCTTTGTACCATTCCACCATCGGGGTCGGACGCCCCTCAGCCTTACAGTTGAGGGTAGCTGGCTCCCCCTTGGACACAATTAAATCAGAGGGATGCTCTACAATCCGAGGGGCGGCATCCTCTAATCTGGGTCGGGATCCTGATGGGAAAAAGACACCACAGAGGAGAGACGAGTTAAAGACTACATTTGTGGTGCATGTTTTATTGTGATACAGCCAATGTCATTTGACATTGGCTGTATCACGTCATGAGGAACACAGCATCTGCTTAGTCATTAATGCCAAATTATACAAAAACCTCATTTCAAGGCACTGAACTGAGTATAAGCCAAAGTTTGTACGATGGGAATACCGTAAAACTACATTGCTCACAGACTACGGATGTGAAGAACATGGTTACAAAAGCATACCAGTGGAAAGAATCGCACCTAACGAGCCTAAAAGTCCTCAGCCTTTTTTTTTTCCTTTTTATATATTGGCCACTACACACAAAAGGCAAGTGGGCGGCGAAACTTGTAAAAACACACTCAGCTCGCCTATTTCCAAACCTCTTGAGCTGGACTGCAGCTGAACTCGTCATTTTATCACCAACAACACGACTGTGTGAAATGAGCACATAATGTTACATTTCAAGTATAACTCGAGAGGACGTGTGAAATTACATGCTCTAAATTCAGCATCTATAAAACTAAAAGCAAATCCTCGAGCCGTGGATGAGAAGCATGAAGGCAGCAAATGCGCAGGAACCACTCTGATCTCAAGCCGATGAGAAAGTAGGCTGACTGAACCGTGCACATGCTAAGATACTGAACACGTATAATCAGCTCTGTACTTTACTTTCAAAGAATGCTTTGCTGAATGGTCTCGACAGGTGTTTGGGGTTCAGGTTTGTGCTAATCTGTCCAAATGTATTGAATTCTTGTTCAGAGCTCTGCAAGTTTCCTCTTTCTCTTCTGAAAGTTGGATTGAAAGACAGAAGCAGAGAGAGATTAAAGTGGGGTAACTCCCCCAGGTTCTTCTACCACCTCCAAATGTTGCTCTCCTTCGCCCAATAATCAACCTCAATCAACCAGTTGGGACAACTAGTAATAAATCCATATTTCTTTTCACAATGAAACATAGAAAACACGTCAAATATGTAAACCGAGACACTTTAAAAGCACAATAAATGCTGAAAGGTTTATGGAAGTTTAGGATCAACATGTGCACCCATCTATACCGCATACTGTGTCTATCACAACACCATGGCATCGTGCTGAACTGCCCTGCCTGCAGTCCAGACCTCTCACCAGTTGGAAACATTTAGCACATCATGATGTGATCTGATAACAGACAAGAACAGGACAACATCCCAGCAGCTGGTCTTCTCAGTTCCCAGACTTTCACAGACTGTTGTTCAAGTGGGGATGCTGTTCCTATCAAATTCAAAGTCACACTGTTTTTCTCTGTTTAAACATTTGACGTGTTTTTGTGTTTGAATTTAATCCAAATCATTACATTTGGATTAAAATGGGCAGGGATAGCTCAGTAGGTAGAGTGGTGGCCCCATAATCGGAAGGTCGGGGGTTCGATTCCCCTGAACAGCTACCCTGAGGTACCCCTGAGCAAGGTACCGTCCCTACACACTGCTCCCCGGGCGCCCAATGGCTGCCCACTGCTTCACTGAGTGAATGGGTTAAATGCAGAGAGGAATTTCCCCACGGGGATCAATGAAGTACACTTTCATTCTGTGTTTTTTGTTTTTTACATTTTAAACAATGCCTGATTTTTTTTTTTTTTTTAGAATCAGAGTTGCAAATGATAGCATGACGGTTGTGCTGTGACGTTAGAAAAGCAATAACATAAACTCAAAAACCACAAGGCACAAGTGAAACATCACCCTGGAGAGCAAACAAAAGCAAGAGAAGAGGAGGTGCATCATCGTCTGTGTTTTTCACACGCTTGTGGGATTCATGAGTGTATTTCTGATTTGTCTTGCCTCACCACTATACTAGCAAGCCATGCTGTTTTGTAAATTATAAGAGTGCTGCAATGCTTAGCAATATCCTAATGTTGAGCAGCGTTGTCTTTTTAGAACATTCACAGCAGGAGATTAGCCCGCGCGCTGTGCATTTAACAGGAAAACAGAAAACATGAATTGCTGTTTATTTTTTCGGAGCGTTGCGTCTGAGCTCCAGACTGTCGTTTTATTCCACACCACTGAAGCCATGATTGTTCAAATAAGACTTAAATAGGTTTTGTCTAAATTGCTTTCAATCATGAAAGCTTTTGTGTAAATTTGCATGTAAAGAAGGCTGAAAACGAAAAGAAGACAGAGCTACAAGTGAGCAGATAGTGACACTGTTGTATTTGGACAAATCTTTAACCTAGGAGGTGATCAGCTGCCTGTGCTTATCCTCTAATATTGAGAGATAGCTTAAAACGTGCCTGCAGCATAGGAAAGTTGTAGACAGTGTGCTGCAGGGTGACAGAAAAGAGAGACAGCTACAATAGTTCATCCCACAGGTGCATGGATAAAAGGAAGTTCAAAGGTTAAGACTTTCCTGATAACGTCTGATAAGAAAAGCAGTCAAAATTCTCGCCTTCAAAGCGACAAATCCTCAAGAAGGTTTTGGGGGATTAAAAACTCCACTTAAGTGCTTCCTGCCGATGGGATATAGAGTACCATATGACTTGCTCTCGATGAAATTACATTCAAAGAGATAGGAAGCTCAGGATAGGAGGAAAATGTGCAAAAGCTTTGAAGTTGCTTTTAGTTAGAATCAAATAGAAGCTGGAAAGCATGCACTGAAAGCATGACACAAGATAAGGATACACCTAAAATTACATTTAAAACACTGTTATTTGTTATCTTGCATCAAACATTACCACTTTCTTCACATTTCAGTTGACTAAAATGTTTTTACAGTTTTCGTTTTTTGATGACTTTGAACTGGGGCTGAAAGTGGTTGTCATTTAATTCAAGAATTCATGATAGTTTAATTTATACAAACTATTCCCAAAAAAAGCACCTTGTGACGGAAAATATAAGCCTGAACTTGCACTGATCAAATTTAGAATCAGCGCCGTCGTTTTCTTTGAAAACCCAAATGGAATTCTACGCTGCAGCACTACCAGAGAAAACTTTTGATGTGAAGGATTTCTAAAAATGAATCAAATAAAGTAATATTGTTAAAAGGTTGTTCTTCTGTCGAATGCTAACAGAAAACAGTTGTCATTTGGTTAAGTGCTCTCTGACCTCCCTCAAGGCCTCTGAGCTGTAGACTGTACATCTAATAGCTTTAAGGTAGTAGCATTGTGCCTGAGCTGAGCCTGTCTGATCGGGGATATCTGGAAGAGAGGAAGGGGGGTGTCTGTTGTGAGAACTCAGCAGGGCACAGCCTTTAAGAGCTGACTCATAAATTTTACAGTAAAAGCTGGTTGGAACAAGTCATGTGGAAATGTAAAGCAAAGGCTTTTAGGGAGGACGAGACCATCATGTGCGACTGAGCTAAATATTATCAAGAGAACGTTGCAACCACTGAAGGCCAACTCTTGACAGATAATACACCTGCTATCCACAGCAAAGCAAGCTTGGAGAAATGAACTCTCTCCCACTGTGGTATGTCACAAAGAAAACTACAGCTCCACTGAAAGGATGACAGCAAACTGTCACTGCACCTGAGAAATCTTCAACAAGTATTATGGGAAAATGTCATTTTCTCAGCGTATATAATACCCACATTGATTCTGACATAGATATGATGTTACAGAAAGGCAAAAGGGTTACAGATCAACATAATAGAAAATGACTATACTGCTATGCATACAAGGATATTGGAATTTCTAAGGCAAGCAGCACTGCTCAGCTACTGAGCTCAAAGTGAGCGTAGACGTACGGTATGTAACGGATAAGGGCAAGGCTGGAAAAGATGAACTCCAATCAGGTTAAATGGACAGTTTGGAGTCTCGACAGTCTGACTGCTTGTCTTGAGAAGACTTTCTAATAGGAACGTCTGGGCTCTCTAAGGACCTATTAGCTCCCGTCCATCGTGTAATACAGCAGGATGGCAGCAACTCTCAATGATACATGTGAGATAATAAAGCCACAGGGATGCTCTAGGAGTCGATCCTGTGAGAATTGCAGTCTGATTAACAGAGAGTGAGGAAAAGATGCAATACTGTCTAAATTATCAAATCAAAAACAGACACTGTGTGAGAGTTCCTGTTTAGATCCTGTTGCGAAAATTGTTTTTATTTCCTAATTAAAAAACTGGACAAAGAAATACAAGAAATGCAATATGAAACTTTCTGCAGCTTTGCAGTCACCACATCCCACCTACAGGAGAAACTTCAAGACATTCTCATCACGGCTAAAGAACAGGACTATTGGCAATAATGAATTATGTAACGCTGTACAATGTAAGGATAAAGGCTGTGCAGTGTTGTTTTGTTACACTGCTGAATGAAGGGTAAATTTAGACAAAGGGTAAATTCTTGGGAGTAACCAAGGAAAAGTCAACAAATTAACATGTGGATATAATCTAAGTGCAAAATCTCAGGCTCCTTAATGTCATCCTCTCCAAAAACAGGTATGGGCAACAGTTCATCAATAGTAACATTTCTGGCAGACTGAGAATTGCAGATTGAGCCCAACCAATACATTAGTGGGGGCAATATATAAGATATCAGCTATTTGCTGATATACTAGCCTCAGCACATAAAGAAGAGACAAGAGAAACACCTTATAAGCACGTTAGAAGGGTTGATATTGCAGTCTGTTCCCCAGAGGGCAAAGGAACTAAGTACAGTAAGTTCTTAATTCACTTGTTGTGACTTGTAAATAACTACACTTGACAAATGATTTGAGTGTCTAAAAGATTCAGATCAAGTTTTTAACTCACCAAACGTTCGGGTCAGTGTTGATCCTATATCTGTATCAGCTGACACTAATCTAGACCAACCAGACTTTCTAATATTTCCAATTATTGTTATCTTTACTTCACTTTCTGCAAATATCTCTCAAGACCTTGTCTGAAAAATGTCTTTAATTGAACAGTTTCTGATGCATGAATCCTCACCAGCAAATCTCTCATCTATGAGGGGAACCCCCCCCCTCCTCACTGCATCTACAAACTCATTAGCCTATAGTGATAATGCT